GAGAATGAAAAAGACTTTAGAAGGAAGCAGAAACCAAATCCTAAACAGGAAACAAGGGATAAACCTCTACTCCTCTATTCACCCCAAGCAAGGTGATAATGCCACTAAGATGCAAGGGGCTACTGAGACTGAAAGAGAATGAAAAAGAGACTTTAGAAGGAACCAGAAACCCAATCCTAAACAGGAAACAAGGGATAAACCTCTACTCCTCTATTCACCCCAAGCAAGGTGATAATGCCACTAAGATGCAAGGGGCTACTGGGAGGAAAGAGAATGAAAAAGACTTTAGAAGGAAGCAGAAACCAAATCCTAAACAGGAAACAAGGATAACCCTCTACTCCTCTATTCATCCCAAGCAAGGTGATAATGCCACTAAGATGCAAGGGGCTACTGGGAGTGAAAAGAATGAAAAGATTTTAGAAGGAACCAGAAACCCAATCCTAAACAGGAAACAAGGATAAACTCTACTCCTCTATTCACCCCAAGCAAGGTGATAATGCCACTAAGATGCAAGGGCTACTGGGAGTGAAAGAGAATGAAAAAAGACTTTAGAAGGAAGCAGAAACCAAATCCTAAACAGGAAACAAGGGATAACCCTCTACTCCTCTTTTCACCCCAAGCAAGGTGATAATGCCACTAAGATGCAAGGGGCTACTGAGACTGAAAGAGAATGAAAAAGAGACTTTAGAAGGAACCAGAAACCCAATCCTAAACAGGAAACAAGGGATAAACCTCTACTCCTCTATTCACCCCAAGCAAGGTGATAATGCCACTAAGATGCAAGGGGCTACTGGGAGTGAAAGAGAATGAAAAAGACTTTAGAAGGAAGCAGAAACCAAATCCTAAACAGGAAACAAGGGATAACCCTCTACTCCTCTTTTCACCCCAAGCAAGGTGATAATGCCACTAAGATGCAAGGGGCTACTGAGACTGAAAGAGAATGAAAAAGAGACTTTAGAAGGAACCAGAAACCCAATCCTAAACAGGAAACAAGGGATAAACCTCTACTCCTCTATTCACCCCAAGCAAGGTGATAATGCCACTAAGATGCAAGGGGCTACTGGGAGGAAAAGAGAATGAAAAAGACATTAGAAGGAAGCAGAAACCAAATCCTAAACAGGAAACAAGGGATAAACCTCTACTCCTCTATTCACCCCAGGCAAGGTGACAATGCCACTAAGATGCAAGGGGCTACTGGGAGTGAAAAGAATGAAAAAAGACTTTAGAAGGAACCAGAAACCAAATCCTAAACAGGAAACAAGTGATAAACCTCTACTCCTCTATTCACCCCAAGCAAGGTGATAATGCCACTAAGATGCAAGGGGCTACTGAGACTGAAAGAGAATGAAAAAGAGACTTTAGAAGGAACCAGAAACCCAATCCTAAACAGGAAACAAGGGATAAACCTCTACTCCTCTATTCAAGCAAGGTGATAATGCCACTAAGATGCAAGGGGCTACTGGGAGTGAACGAAAATGAAAAAGACTTCAGAAGGAACCAGAAACCCAATCCTAAACAGGAAACAAGGGATAAACCTCTACTCCTCTATTCAACCCAAGCAAGGTGATAATGCCACTAAGATGCAAGGGGCTACTGGGAGTGAACGAAAATGAAAAAGACTTTAGAAGGAACCAGAAACCAAATCCTAAACAGGAAACAAGGGATAAACCTCTACTCCTCTATTCACCCCAAGCAAGGTGATAATGCCACTAAGATGCAAGGGGCTACTGGGAGTGAAAGAGAATGAAAAAGACTTTAGAAGGAACCAGAAACCAAATCCTAAACAGGAAACAAGTGATAAACCTCTACTCCTCTATTCACCCCAAGCAAGGTGATAATGCCACTAAGATGCAAGGGGCTACTGGGAGTGAAAGAGAATGAAAAAGACTTTAGAAGGAAGCAGAAACCCAATCCTAAACAGAAAACCAGGGATAAATCTCTGCTTTACATGCGTAGAAGGTCAATCAAGAAATATGTTGCGGTGTCCTCCCTCTATCGAGTCTAGGTTGGACTCTTCCGCCTACTATAAAATTGGTAGGAGAGATGGCCTTGGGAGATCAGTCGACCACACTGTTCATTTGTGTCGAACTCTCTGCCTCGGCAGAGAGGAACTCGGTTACGCGGTTTCTAAGGGAATATTTTTGGCCGAGCCTACGGGCTCGTAGAACCCACGGTAAACTTGGCCTTGTATCAAATACATCCTTCCTGGGTTGGTGAGGGGCGAGGACTGTTAAATATTAACAGTCGACCAGATGGTTCGTGACTGTCGAACTCTCTGCCGAGGCATAGAGATACCAGGATGAGGCTTTGCCGAAGGGTAAAGTTTCGTCCGGGGAGGTAGACAAGCCCTGAACCCGGTTATGCGGGTTCGAAGGGATTATTTTTTTTTTTTGACCGAGCCTACGGTCTCAAAGAACCCACGGTAAACTCTGCCTTGTATCACATACATTCCTCGTGGGGAGGGGAGCTGTTAAATATTATCAGTCGACCAGACTGTTCATTTCTGTCGAATTCTCTGCCTTGATCAGAGAGGAACCCGGACCAGGCTTTGCCGAAGGGTAAATTTTCGTCCGGGGACGTAGACAGTCCCTGAACCCGTTTATGCGGGTTCTACGGAAATATTTGGCCGATCCTATGGGCTTGGAGAACCCACGGTAAACTCGGCCTTGTGCCACATACAACACTCGATGGGGGCTGTTAAATATAACAGTCGACCAGATTGTTCATCTGTCGAACTCTCTGCCTCGAGCAGAGAGAAACCCGGACGAGGTTTGGAGGGGGAGCTGTTAAATATCAACAGTCGAATAGATTAAACGCTGGGTCAACCGACACACACTCACTAGTCGTGTAATACTCTTCTGTTGTACTTACTGTTTAATATATGATATATCTGCAACACTTGTTTGGTTATTTCTTTAACCATTTACTTGGTAACAACAGAATAATTTCACAATTCTGAATTACATCCCTATTGGTTAGAGAAGGTAAAAAATAATTAGGCATAATGTTTTCAATTCTTTGGAAATTATTTATGACATTGGTGACTGAAAGAGAAGTATGTGGATTTTCTACGTGTAGCGTATATGTGGTACAAGGGCAGTGAGGACCGTATTCACTCCTCTGTCGTAATTTTTTTTAGCGGAACAAGCTTGTTAATCATTACACAGTGTGAATTCAATAAATCTTTATTAATTTTCATGTGTTTTTCCTTTAGCATCCCACTAACCCTTTTATTTATCAATGTCGATTTTTGTGCAAAAAGCGGATCACAGCGTTTACCCAGCTTCATACATATTTTTAGAAAACCTCAACTTCTCATTGGTCAATAAACAAACAAGTGGGTGTTGCAATCCACCCACGTACAAGTATTTTTTTTTTGTTGATGTTTTTTTTTTTCAGCGCGTGACCAAATCAAATTTCCTCGCCAAAAACTAGAAATGCTTCCAGGAGCCGATCACGTGATTACGTTGATTATAGATACCAGCCACGAGTTCGTTTTTCCTCTACTCTACTCTCTCTTGTTATTTCGTTCACTTACGAAAATGTAGCCGTTAAAGATATCGCGTCCCGATCCCCGTTCGGGCGGACGCTATGAAAACATATTCACACACGCACACATACACGTGCGTACGAGACTTTTCAAACTTCATTACGAACATTACAAACTAACATATTACGAATATTCAACTACAAGCAACGAAACTTAATTACATAACATTACAAGCATTGGAAACTTAATTAAAAACTGATATGTCCCGGAAAGGTATATATTTGATCAAAGTAGCTAAGTGGGTTTTGGCTATTGTAACCAAGTAGTACACGGTATAAGTAATCGACTGGTACTCGTCGTAGTCGCAGGTAATAGGTGTAGACCAATAGGATAGCCAATGTCGTAGTCCAATGAGCGTCGTCATAGACTTAAACTCTGTCGTACCTACACGCCCGTCTGTATTTATGACGGACACCAGCCAATCATATTCCAGTAAAGGAGGACTCAGATGTATACATATTCCATTATATCACAAACAACTCTCTCACAGTAAACATTTTGAGCGGCAAGTTCATTCAACTTTTTATGAGCTCAGATAAAAATATTTCATTAGTAAAAACTTTAATTCCAGTCAAAGGGAAGTTACTTCCCTTTGACTGGAATTAAAGTTTTTACTATGCTTGTACACTATTACAGACAAATATATTCTTTGTTGGTTATAAAACCATTTTATGGTCTTCCTTCTCGTTTCATATTTTGTGGTATTTTGCGTTAAATATAAATTCGAGAGACAAGCGACTTCAACACTCTAATGGAGGAGAAAGAAAAAAATTAGTAAATGAATTTCAGACGGAGACGTTAGAAGTGTAGAGTTGAAGTAGGCTTTAGAAGGACCCGGAAACCCAATCTTAAACCGGAAAACAAGGGATAAACCCTCTACTTCCGTTCAAAAGATCGGGAAGCTGTTTTGTCTGGTTTTCAATACGCAAGTGACGTAATTAATAAAAGAGGTCGCCATCTTTTTCTGAGTTCAAAAACTGCGTACGAAGCGACCTTATCTCCAATCGTGTAATTTGTCTTTTCAGTTTATACTTTCCTAAAGGAATGTGTCTCTATTTGTCTATTTTATTCTCATTCTAACAATCGTGCTTTCGTATCATGCTTGCGCAGAGTGATAGCATGTCTCATATGGACATGAACGGAGATCTTTCAATTTGTAAGAAACAGACGACAAAAAAATGTCGCTGGCAAACAGAGCTTCATTATTCCTCGCGTACGGGATATGTTTTTATTTACTGTTTAACTTTGTATTTTTATTTTGCAGTCTATTTTGTTTGTTTTGTTATTATTTTTATTTATTTATTTATTTTTTTTCTTATGTATTTTCACTGGTCTTCTTATGAATGTACCTATTGTTCGGGCTTCTGAGATATTTGTCCATGTGTGATAAGAGGTGATTTCCTGTATTTATCCTTACGCTTAAAGGTTTGGAACCTTATTACCCTTAACTCTAAAATGCAATCAGATTGTGATACATATAAACATAGATAGATAGATAGATAGATAGATAGATAGATAGATAGATAGATAGATAGATAGATAGATATGAATCGATTGAGATAGATATGGATAGACTGAAATAGATATTAGTAGACCGAGATAGATGCATAGATATTAACAAAATGCAATAGTCTAATATAAATAGCTATCAATAAATTTCGAGAGATAGGAATATAGATAGATAGAAAATTATCAGACTAAAATAGATAGATAGATAGATAGGTAAGAACGGACAAAAATAGATATATTGAAAGATAGACAAGAACAGACATAGAGAGAAAGATAGACAAGAACATAGATAGATAGATAGATAGATAGATAAGAACAGACTGAAATAGATAGATAGATAGATAGATAGATAGATAGATAGATAGATAGATAGATAGATATGAATAGTCCGTGATAGATAGATAGATAGAGAGATAAGAAGAAACAGAATTAGAGAGATAGATAGATAAGAACAGACAGACAGACAGATAGATAGATAGATAGATAGATAGATAGATAGATAGATAGATAGATATGAATAGACCGTGATAGATAGATAGATATGAATAGTCCGTGATAGATAGATAGACAGATAAGAAGAAACAGAAATAGATAGAGAGATAGATAGATAGATAAGAACAGACAGATAGATAGATAAGAAGAAACAGAAATAGATAGAGTGATAGATAGATAGATAAGAACAGACAGACAGATAGATAGATAGATAGATAGATAATGATCAGACTATGTCAGCCATTTTCCAACGTTTCATTTGTTTTAATCGCTTTTCTAATTATTTTTGATCGAACATTTTAGAGGCAATTATTTTTTTATCTGTACTTTTATTGCCTACTCATTCTTTGTAAGTGTGATAAGTTTCTTTTTCCTGATTTAAAGAAAAAAAAACGCATTGTCCCTAGAAAATAAGAAAAGAGCGAAAAAAAAAAGCTAATAAAAACGACATTGACTCAACGTCAGTTGTGTGACGTCAGTGATCGTGCCTCGATATGAAAAAAACCTTTTACACGATTTAATGAAGGGTATGTGTGACAGCGTATGGATATGTATAACTAAGTAAGTGTCGAAAAGTAAGTTATGTGAGCGCGTAGCTTTACATAGAAATCAATAGGGGTCGAATATATATATATATATATATATACCGAAGTACAGGGTTGGTACAGATGGAATAAAATTTCGATAACCAAAAAAACTCAATACCGAATAGATCAAATAATATTTATTCAAAATTGTAACATATGCATGTTATAACATCATTGAAAAAATTGCAGTCTTGTTTCAACACTACTGATGTCTTATATAAGATATTGCAATAATTGTAGTGATGTTATAACATGCATGTTACAATTTTGAATATATATATATATATTCGTCTCTCTCAATAATAGCGACCCTCAGAGATTTACATTACATATATATATATGTGATAGAAATTGTTAGGAGAATTTGAGATAATTATCATAAGTAATTCATCGAGTCTTGAAGAAACCTCAACAGAATGCAGAAAGCACTGGACGGCCGTTTCGTCCTATATTTGGGACTCATCAGCAGTGCGCATCCACTACCGAGAATTGAAACCCTGACAGTTGGGTTGTCAAGCGAACATCGTACCAACTGTTCCACCGGGCCTCGGCGACGAAGAGATTGCAAATCAGACTCAACAAAGCGCCGTGGTGGAACTCTACTGAGTTCTCTCTAACCATAGGACTGTGCCCCCAGGAGCCACGGCTACTCTCACCAAGCCACTCACTCTAGAGCATTAGAATCCGGTTCTAGCAATGATATACACATGATGATGCAATTTATTCATCGAGTCTGAAAGTAACCTCAACAGAATGCAGAAAGCACTGGACGGCCGTTTGTACAGTTGGTATGACGTTTGTCTGATAACGTAACTGTCCGGATTTCGTCCTGTATTTGGGACTCATCAGCAGTGTGCATCCTCTACCGAGAATTGAAACCCGGACAGTTACGTTATCAGACAAACGTCATACCAACTGATGAGATAGCGAATTAGACTCAATAACTCAATATAGCACCGCTCGATCACATATTCTGTGGTGGAACTCAGCAACTCGCTGAATTACTTAATCATAATATATATATATATATATATATATATATATATATATATATATATATATATATATATATATATATATATATATATATATATATATATATATATATATATATATATATATATATATATATATATATATATATATATATATATATATATATATATATATATATATATATATATTGTAGGACAAATTGAAAATATTGTTTGTGACGCGTTTCATTCTTTAGGACTTCATCGGACTGGGTTTCTTGACGTTGTTGTGACTACACATGTGCATGAACGAGAGACGCTGGTAGTTTCAAAATATTTTGGAATAATTTTTGCAATCTACCTTAATTCATCTAGAATATTTTTCTTTTTCTTTCCATCATCTTTGTTTTTAAATATCCTGCATTGTGATAACAGAAAATCTGCCAAGAATGGGGAAATGTTGTAAGGACCTCGACGTAAATTTACTGTGGCTGAACTAACAATTAAAGCATTTTTTTAAAGATCTTTGCTTCAGTGAATTATTTTCTCTTTTAATTAGAGTGGCATATATATATATATATATATATATATATAGGCATTTCGCCCCTAGCAAGGCGGGAGTGCCACTAGCACGCAAGGAGTTACAGAGGGTAGAGAACAAGAGTAAAGAGGCATGTTTAGGGGGTGGGGATAAAGAGAAGGACTGGGAACAAGATCAAGGTGTCAGAAGATGTCGATTGACATTACATTTGAAGATTTGAAGCTGATAGTTATTATTCAGGGAGGCCTGTAAGAGAAAGAAAATTCCACAGACGGGAAGTGCGAGAGAAGAAGCTGTTTGAGGAGAAGAGACGGTTGCATTTAACCGTTTTGACAGTGAAAGTGTGGAACCGAGATGCCAGCCTAGTAGCTCGCTTAAATTCATGCAGTCTGGTAACCAGAAAAAGCAACTCGTCGGAACAGTTGCCGTGAAAATATTTATAGAAGAGACAGGGTGAAGCCACGGCATGTCTGTGAGAAAGCGACCGTAGACTAGATGCCAGATCAGGACCTATCTCATTGCATGTCCGTCTCTGTATTTTGTCGATGTTAGACATTTTGACGGTCGTCTTCGAGTATAGAATCCAGAGGTTAGCAGTGAATATTTCGGAGACAGTAGGAAAGTGTTGTTCAGGTTAGCAGTGGATATCGCAGCAAAGTAGCAGAGCGTAGTACTTCCTTCTGTCATCTTCGCCTGACAAGTTGGCACTGGTCATTCGGGTAGGGGAAAAAATGGCCGCCTTTATACACGACTGATACAATGTTCTGCGGCTTCTGATTGGTTAACCTTCTATTGGTAGACTATAAAGGGAGTTAAGTCATTTTGACTAACTCACTAGTTACATATATATATATATATATATATATATATATATATACACAAAAAACTGTAACAGTCGATGACCTCGAAACTTACACCGGGGGGGGGGTGCTAGATCATATATGACAGCAATATTCTATACAAGGTCGGATCGTTGATTTATAGATATCAAGGATGGACTCAGATGAGAAATATTTTCTGGCACAACACAGAGAGCCAACTTTCCTTGCGGTAGATGAAGCTATTGATTCAATATATTTGTTCCATCTCATGTCAGTGGACACCGTGAGACCAAGAAGGTGTAACGAGGCACTCTCAAAGAGTTGGGTATCAGCCATTCTGATATGAAGCAGAGAGGGTTCTCTGTGGCGGGTAAATGAGAGCAGTTTTCATTATATATATATATATATATATATATATATATATATATATATATATATATAAACTGCTCCCGCCAAAATAATAGTTACTACAACAATCAACCCCAAAATTGAATAAATAGCTTTAATTATCTTCCCAAACCAAAACAAAACTATTAAATAATTAATGTGATATAAACAAATTTTTACTACGTTAATAAAAACACCGACTAATAAAAATAAAAAATAAATAAACATATAAGATAAGAAATAAAAACAAAAAATAAAAATAAATAAAAACAAGCAAAATAATTTAACCCAAATAAATAAATAAACAAATAAACGACATCCGTAAAATAACCGCCAAAATAGACTACCCATAATGCACCACTGACCTGTATATATAAATAGCCGAGAAAAATAACAGCACTCGTGGCCTAACGATTGCATCTAACATGAAACAGACTGTCGACTCTAAGTGTTAACTTCTATGTTCCCTTATATATATATATATATATATATATATATATATATATATATATATATATATATATATATATCCGAATGTAGTGAGAACGAAAATAATATAAATTCTAACGTTCAGAGCATTAATTAAAAAGAGGGCTCAATAATAAGAGCAGAGCAATAATTATTTATTATAATTTTTACATACGGACAAAAACAACTTACTCACTACAAAGATGCACTCTTGTTTCGATGCGGCTGCATCTCGACTGGTGAGAACCAAAAATGGTTATCTTTTGGTTCTTACCATTCGATTCATTAATCAATGGGGCTGATAAATAATTTTTACACATCAAGAACACTTTTGGAAGAAAAATGTATGACAAATTGGGAAAAAAATTGTCATTTGACGCGTTTCCTCTCTTAGGGCTTCATCAGACTAGGTTTGTTTACGAGATGGGACTACACATGCGCATGAACGAGGGACGCTGGGAATTTTAAATAAAAGAAAAAAAAGAATATTTTATCTATTTATGTAATCTATTATCTATTATATGTAATCCAGTCAAATTTATCGAGATTCTTTTTCGTTTTGTTTCCATCATTTTTGTTATTAAATATCTCACATTGGGGTAACAGATCCGCCAAGAATGGAGAAACCCTGTCATGACTTGGACGCAAATTTACTGAAGATGATTTAGCAAATAAAGCACTTTGTAAACATTTTCATCCTAGTGAATTATTTTCTCTTTTAATTAGGGTAGCATTTTCTTTTTTATGTCAAAATTGTGGTCAGTTTCGTTACAGTGAGCAACTATGTTTAATGTGTTGATTTAAAAAAAAATGTCCCTCTGTGTTCAAATAATCTTTTATTTAAAATTCTTGAGGTTTCTCCAGTATATGTTTTGTGTCAATCTTTGCAGGTGATAGAGTAAATTCTTCTTTCAAATGTTGGCTCGTTGTTTTGTTTTGTGTTGAATAAGTCATTTATTGTGTGTAGTTGTGACAAATTTTATGTTGAGTTTAGATAAATTCTTTACGATTGTAGTTGTTATAGACATATATATCCACTAAAAACCATGTTTAAAGTGATATATACATTAAGAAATGGACAAAGTCCGACAATTTATTAAAGACATTTTTATGTTTAACATTCTTTTTATAGATACAAGTATTTTAGTAAATGCTCTGTTTATAATAAACAGTATTAAATAACATTTACCGGTCTGAATGTTCATAGAAAATTTAATACTGTTTATTCGAACACTGACCATGAAAGTTTTTATAGAAAAGACACAGAGAGACAACCTTACAGCGGTGGGAAAGTGACTGGAGCCGAGCCACCAGATCAGGGCCGATAATATTGCAGATGCTTTTTGGGGGTTGGATTTTACCAAGGTGCTCAAGATAAATAGAAGGGACACCGGATCATATGTGGCAGCAATATTCTAAGCATGGACGAATGGTAGACTTATAGATATGTAAG